CACACCTACAAACACACATACACATACATATAACACACATATACACTCAAGAAATATTCTAAAGGAGAGTCATGGGGCTGGAGAGATGACTCAGTGGTTAGCAGCATGTATTGCTCTTGCAGAAGACTCGTTTGGTTTCCAGCACCACATAGGGTAATTCGCAAATGCCTATAACTTTAGCTTCACGGGATATGACACCCTCTTCTGGACTCATTGGCTACCACGAATGTGTGTGGGCGCTTGCGTGTGCGCAAACACACACATACACACACACACACACACACACACACACACACAAATAAATAACAATTTATCTTAAAAAAGAACAGTCCTGGTAGCATTAGGGGATAATAGCATTGATTATAGTGGCTGTTGGCTACAGAGAACTTATCTCAGCCTCTCACTATCCCCACAGCACCTGCCTCACGGCAGCACTGGAAGCATGTAACATTGTGAGTTGTGCAGAAGAAATGGCAGTGCAGAGAAGTGAGCTCACTCACTGTACCACGAAGCTAGAAGGCACAGAACTAGTTTGTGTGATTCCAAACTGCTGCTCTTTACAAAGATGATGTATTGGTTAATTTTTGTTGCTATCATAAAACACCATGACCAAGGCCAGTTACAGAAAAAAAGAATTTGGCTTATGATTCCTAAGGGATAAAGAGTCCATCATGACAGGGAGACCTGACAGGAGGCAGCTGGAGCAGAAAGCTGAGTGTTCACATTTTCAAGCAGGCACAGGAAACTGATCGAGTGATACTAGAAACGGGACAGGATTCTGAATTCTCAAATCCCATCCCCAGAGCCCTGCTTTAGGGGCAAGACTGCACCTCCTAGGGTTCCACGACCTTCCCAAAACAGCATCAGCTGAGCAAGTGTTCAAGTACTTGAGCCAATGGGGGACACCTCATTCAAACCTCTCAGATGTGTAGATGGGCTCCATTCCAGAAGTTTTTGATAGTAAGGCACCAGCATGTGTATTTGATCTTGAAGAAAACAGGAAGCCACTTACAGTTCCATGAAGAAGGCAGTATTTTAGGAAGATGAGTATCATTTTTACCCAAGGATGCATTTTCTTTTGAAGAGAAAGCCAACTTATAAATGAGAAGCTATTGACCACAAAGGGCTTCTTTCCATAGGGTTTTATCAAGTGGCTTTCTTCCTTCCCTCTTAAGAGGCCTGTACCAATTTTAAAAAAGTGTTCGGTTAAATTGTTTTTGTTTTTCCCCTCCAATATTCTAAGATCCTCACACTAGTGATAAAGCATTGATGAACTCATAGACAGAGCACAAATACTATTATAGGAAACTGTTCCTTGATTTTTTTTTAAACTCTAAAACTTTATTTCAGTTTTTGTTCAACTGTTATAAGCGGAACCAATAGGAGCATCATTCCTGGTGGCTCAGAGTTTAGCTTCCTGTGTGTCCAGTTCTCAGCTTTTTTTGGTTTTATCATTGGGAGCTCTAATAAAGAAAAATGTCTACTATGTGAAAGGTGAACGTAATAACAATGAAAAGTAAAATTTATAAAGCTCATTTTACATATGAACAACTTTTCACAGGTTTTGCCTAATTTAGTCACTAAATGTACACATTAAGCTCAATGAAGTTAGGTGTTTTCTCAATGATTCTACACTTTGTCTGAGGAGCCTACGATAGTAAAACAAAGTCTTATTTGTTTTCATATACCCGAGGATAGTAAATATCTGGATCAGTAGAGACCATGTGCCTCCTTCAAATCTTGTCATCCAATTCCTTCTTTATAGCTAACCCGGCAGGAACACAGGAAATTTCACCTGCATTCATACCACTTCTTCCCTGCTGAGAAAGTGCTGAATTCTTGATGTTGATGACCATAGCAGTTATAAACTTGAATTTTAGTTTATAACTTCAGTCCCCCAAAGGACTCTTCCTTTGGGATATCTGTAGAACAAGTTCATCCCAGCCTGGCCTCTGCAGATCTCAGTGTGTTCACATGGCGCATACATACACGGATGGTGGAATTAGAAGGTGCATAGGCTTGAGTTGGAGAGAACAAGTAGCCAAAATAGCCTGTGTCTTTTTGTTTCTCTGTCTTAGAGGTTTGCCACCTGGCCCCCAAAACCTAAAGTTTCATCAGTCATTGCTGTGACATCAGAGCTCAATCCAGAAACAGCTGTCCAGAGCTAATTTATTTCCTAATGCTGAGGCACTGTTAATTTATAAATTACACTGGTAATTCAAGCTATTATTAATTTCAGATGGTGTAGGGCAAGCCTAATTAAAATATGACACCATTTACCACACGTATGTACCACGGACTACCATTTAAAATTAATGGGAATATTAAGTGTGACACTGGTCTCTGAGATGCTTTGCACAGTAATTACAGCATTCTAGCGTGAAAAAAATCTGACAAATGTAAGCCTGGAGTTGATAGTAAATAAACAACATCCGCGAAAGAGGAATCATAATTTCTTTACTTGAACTTCTTAGTTCCTCTACCTTTCCTCAGAACAAGGCTGGTATTTTTGCCCTGAAGATGTGTATTACTATAAAGCAGTAATACTGCAACAATGAAAAGTTTCTTTCAGGTTGGTGCTGTGAGTCTGTATGAGTTCAGGTAGATAGTTCGCTTTCTGTGCTGGACTGTGGGTCCTGTTTTCTGCTTACGAGCGCGTCCTTGCTTCTTCTCGTGAATTAGATGGCTCTGTTATGCTTGTTACAGTAGATATTCGTCTTCATCTCTTCTCCACACATAATGAGGAGAGTTTCTGTAACTACGTGGTGCAGGTTCTATGTCATGAATACATGTGAGGAAGTGCTCTGGTTCAAAGCATGGCTGGATGGTGGCATGAACTTAGCATGCTCAGAGTTGCAGTACGTTGGACAGTAATGCCTCCATTGCAAGATGGTGGGGATCATTTTGGGTTTTTTTCTTTTTGTTGCTATTATTGTTGTTGCTGTTGCTATTGTTACCATTGTCATGGTAGGAACGATGACAACACTGGTATGTGCAGCTGCAGCTTACATGCCACATGTGTCTCTTCTTAGAGTTACCAGTTTTATGCTGTGGGTCCATAGAAACTTGGGGCATTTGGGAGGTGTTAGGAGTTAGATACAAGAGTCCCTTTTCAGAAACTGGAGAGATGGCTCAGCGGTTATGAGCACTGACTGCTCTTGCAAAGGACCCGAGTTTGATTCCCATAAGCCACATGACATAGCAGCTTAAAATTGCCCAACTCCAATTCCAGGGGATCCAACACCCTCTTCTGACCTCCACAGGCATTACACAGTATGGGTGCACTGTTTTACCCATGCAGGCAATACACTCATACACATAAAATAAAAATAATAAATATATATTTTAAATATTTTATTTATTATTTATGTGTATGAGTGTATTGCCTGCATGTATGTGAGTGCACCCATGTCGTGCAATGCCACAGAGGTCAGAAGAGGGCTTCAGATTCCCCTGGAACTGGAGTTAAAGATGGTTCGTAGCCACAGGTGATGGGAATTGAACCCAGGTCCTCTGCAAGAGCAGTCAGTGCTCGTAACTGCTGAGCCATCTCTCCAGCTCCATAAAATATATTTTTTGAAAAGTATCCACTTTCCATTTCTGAGGCCATCCATGTGAATGTAGCTTCATTCCAACCCCATCTGTGGTTCCTAGAAATTTATAGGATTAACTTCATCACCAAGTGGGTAGCATATGAGCTTTCAAATGCTTTCATGTGCTATATACATTTTATTTGTTGCTCTAAGTAACTCTGTGAGGTGTTAGGTCTATTATGTGTATTATACCTGGAAAAGTGTTTCTCAGTTTCTAAGGATAATCTTAATTTTAGTTTGTTGTCCCTCTTGGCTTAGGATATTTTCTTTCCAATTATCTCCATTAAACAGAAAAGGGAAGATAATCCCAGAATATAAAAAGCATTTTTGCTCCTTATTTTCTATTGACAAGGAAACTAAAGCTCAGGACAACTCTGAGAGAGAACTTGGAAACCTATTCCCTAGGCTTAAATGTCTTGGACTTAGCACATGTAGTAGCCTGTAATCCTGGCACATAGGAGATGGTGACAGGAGGATCAGGAGTTCACAGTCTAGACAACATAGTGAGTTTGAAGCCAGCTTGGAGTATATGAGACCATGTCTCAAGAACAAAGATTAAAACAAAGCCTCAGTCTTTGGATAATTGAATGCTCATGACCAGATACCATGTGTGGATTATAGTATAAGAATGGTCTGATAATTATTCATAAATTTTTGCTAAAGAAATCAAATCAAATCTCTGAATGATTAAATGATGGGGAAAGATTTGCACATCCTCTTACTCTTTACTTTCTGCTTAGCTTGTATACAGTTAGACATCACATATAGGGTCCCAAGGTTGGTCAGGTTTTATATGTAAGAGCTCCAGGAACTTGATGTTTAGAAAATTGAACTTTCCCTATCTGGCTGATTTTCTAATGTGAAGACAAAGACGCATTTACTATATGAGTGTTTCACTGATGATGTGGCTCCTGTGTGTGTGTGTGTGTGTGTGTGTGTGTGTGTGTGTGTGTGCACGCATGTTGGCTGCTTGTGCAGCATCTTCAGTTGACTCATGCCCAAACTTGCAGTCCACATCTCAGCATCCCAGGCTCACTGTAAATGATGCCTTAGAGGTCAGAAAGAGTTAAGGTGCCTGCTCCAATTCCAGAGCGGACCACGTGGTAAGATCCCAGCAGTGTAAATGTCAAAATTATTAATCACTTATGGAGAACCAGTTAATTCTCTGCACTCATGCTTAGTTTAGTAGGAGCACAAACATTGCAGTGGGACCACCGGGGAGCCAAGGAAAAGGGGGGGTATGAAAGGCATAAGAAAAATGGGGGAGGGAGAGTCTGCATAGCTGCTAAGAATTTGAACTTACAAGGGGGACAGTTCTCCAGATGTAACCAGTTCATACTTTGTTTTCCAGTATATGCTTTTGGCCTTTTTCTCCCATTTTACTATACTTCACTCTTTCCTCTGCAGCTGTTGGCTTCGTGAGTGAAGACGAGTACTTGGAAATTCAGGGCATCACACGGGAGCAGTCAGGGGACTATGAGTGCAGTGCCTCCAACGACGTGGCAGCACCAGTGGTACGGAGAGTGAAGGTCACCGTGAACTGTGAGTGGCCTTGCCAACCCCCACCCTACCAGTGAGTGAGGCCGGACTGCCATCGATACGGCAGCAGCGACAAGCTTGCCAGCAGAGTGACAGGAAAAAGACCCAGCATCATTTCTGCTGCTCTGTTTGCAAGAACAACAATTCTAAAGTCATGGGTTTTGATACTATGTTAGAGTTGTCAGATTTTTTTTAAAGCAGCTGAGAATAAATTTATATAATGTCCACCTGAAATGCATGGCCAGAAAAATCAATAAATGCCATTAAATGCATACTTTACCCAAAGTTTTCTCATAATTTACTCTCGTGATCCACTGACTGCCTTCCAAACCAGATATTTCCAGTAGGACAGAGAAAACTGTGCTGGAATATATGGAACAAATATTACAACTGTGAACACTGTGGCCATTGTATCTTCCAATAGAGGCGCCGATATATGTGGAATACAGAAATAATTTGAATGTAAGTAGACATAAGTACAGATTTTCAGAGGATATGTCTCAAAATTTGAACTTGACTAATGGATATAGAACCCAAAAAATGTAAAGGCCACTGGTATGGTTCCTTCATTCTCCTTTTAGCAACCTTTTAAATTCTCTCTGACACTGACCTACATGAATTATGTACCCATCATGCACGCTTTCCCCTCCGGGTCCCTTGTTATATGCATTAACTAGGTTTCCTGTGACTTTCTGAGATTTTCTCTTAGAACAAAACTCAAGAACTAGACCATCAGCATAGAACTCTTCCCCTGTCAACATGGGCAGGATAGGATATGTAAAGGATATTGTCTATCAATTTGAATCTAGGTAATATGCACTTTAAGTAGCAAAGCAGATCTAACAATGCTTTCACATTTTTTTGTAATTTTAACTCTATTTTTAAATGGACTTAAGATTCTTTACAGTTGATGACAATGAACTTAAAAAAAAAAAGAAAAAATGGGAGCAAATGAAAAATCTATTACAGAAATTAATAAGTTAGGAGGAAATCATCTGGGTTTATATCCACAATCTGTCTTTGCACTGCTAAAGCAAAGAAAAAAAAATTCTGCCCTAAGATGTGCATCACCTGTAAGATAAAAGCATGTTCTTTTCTTGGGAGACACTTTCTTTTCTTGGTGCCATTACCTAGGAAAAATGGTTTCCAGGGTCTGTGTAAATTGACACATTGTGATACAGTCAACATAGCACACACCATGCCCTTACATCAAGCAGAACAGTATGTTCAGCATGGCTGTTTGTATAATGCACATCCATGCAAACTGCTGGAATGCCACAGGTAACTGAGTGGAGGCTTCATATAGATGGAAACCATGCAAGGAGGTTTAGCTTGGCTTGACTTGGTTCAGATTCCATTTTAGAATGCCCACAGGAAAGACTTGTCTGTATATCTTTCAGGCAATTCTCTGTGGATATTATTACTTATAACTGAGATTATGATCGAATTGAATAGTTCAAATTTGTACACTTTGGCAAGAACCTGGTATGCAGAAACTCTGTAAAGCTGATTAAAGGTGGTGATCATCATCCCATGGAGTGTAAGGCTAAAAGGTTAGCATCATCTTAGGAAAAACTAAAAAACTCAAACAATCATTGTGCCTCAACTGCTAGCCATTCCACCTCAGTACAGAGAAAGGAGGCAGCACATGCTGAAAGATGAATCCTTTCTTTAGAACAGCATCAACAATGTTTGCATTCTCTAGAATAATCTGTACAGCAACTTGACAGGGTACACAAGGATAAGTAGGACAGAGAATAAGAAACAAAACCCATGAATGGGGCAGGCCTTTTCAGTTTAAGATGCATTCTTAAATGGCACAAACATCTTGTTTCTACAGATCCACCATACATTTCAGAAGCTAAGGGTACAGGTGTCCCCGTGGGGCAGAAGGGGACACTTCAGTGTGAAGCCTCAGCAGTTCCTTCTGCAGAATTCCAGTGGTTCAAGGACGACAAAAGGTAGATTTTCCCTCTCCTTACGAATTTCCTCTGCAGGTTCCTGACTGCTGATGGTTGCAACTGAATCCCTGCAAAATTCTTTCCAGACATCCTATAGGGGTATGATGAGTGAAAAAGCTTTTTCTTAACACTAAAAAAAGTTCAGCTAGGTTCTCAATGCTATCTTCAGAATTATCACTTGCCAACCAAAAGGATAATACAATTTAACCAAACAAAAATCACAAAAGTCACCAACAGCATTGTAAGGTTAGTGATTTTTTTTTTTTACAGACCATGAAAATAATGTGTTTGGGGGTCTAGAGAATTGACTTAGAGCTTAAGAGCACTGATTGCTCTTTCAAAGGACCTGGGTTCAATTCCCAGCACCTAACAACCATCTTAACTTCATTTCAGGGGATACGACACCCTCTTCTGACCTCCACAGGCACTGTATGACATGGCACTTACATGCAGGCAATACACTCATACACATAAAAATAAATAAATAAATAAAATATTGAGAATGTGTTCTACCTGAAGCTATTTTTAACACATTCCCAGGCTCATATGAAGTATAAGAAACCCTCTCCAGCCTCTGGGAGGGGCTCCCAAGTTAGCAGAACCCCACAGGTTTTCCCTTCCCTTCCTGAGGTTATCAGCAGTGCTGTGTGAGGGTCCCTGACCCACTTGTACCTTCCCTTTATGCCCAGCTTGTTCTTTCTCTGTAAGAATAAAGAGTCTGGACTGTCCCCTTCCTTCACATTGTTGTAGCCATCACAGAGACATTTGTTGTGAGTCACTGAAGATGATCATTTTGAGGAGTTATCAAATTGCATGTCAGCTCAGGGGTCAGCTGCTCAGTACAGCCAGGCAACATGGCAATTACTGCTATCAAAGAGCTATTTTAAGGTGGATGAACAACAAATAAATGTGTAAGCCCTGTCTGTGCTCAGAATATTTTCATAAAAGCAGAGGTGGTGGTGCTAGAGATGCTACAAAGTCTTGTGGCATTTGTGGGTGGAGAAGCAAAGAGTGAAAGAGGCTGAGAGGCTGAGGAGGGAAAACAAAGAAGAAAATTAGAGAAAGAGCAGTGAGAGAAATTCCATCAAAGCAGTATCATACTACATGGACTGCACTCACTGCATTGTGGTTTATGTTATTCAAGCAGCCAATAAGGCCTTTCAAGTTCTTCTAGTTTCTCAGTCAATAACTCAATTTTTTAGAAACAAGTTATTTCATCATAAGATCCAGTGAGGAGCAGTGTTTGGGAATTGTTAGGATACATCCTGGCAGCCTCCAGTAAAGTACAGTGTCATCTACCACCCACTTTATAGAACTGAGACAGAAAGAAGCAAGCAAACTCACAGAGAGACAAGAGATAGAACTGGCTGTTTCCTTCTCTCACAAACTCAGACATCCTTCTTTTCTACTACCCTTCTCATTTTTCTAAAGAGAAACAGAGGCGCAAAGGTCCAAGATCTAAAGTACACATACATACCCACAACCCCCCACACACACACATTCTCTCTCACTCACAAAGAACTGTTGAGCTCCAGCCTCAGTTCTTGAACACAACCTAGCTCTTTATGAAAATGAATCGGCTGTATCCTGTTATTCAAATCTCTGATGAGATAAAAGCAAGTAATATAACACAAAATCAAGCTATCAAAACACATGAATAAAATACAGCAAAATGGCCCATGTTCAAGCAAAGGAAGCGAGCTGTCCTCTTGCTTGGTCAGAGGAGGGGCTATCATCAATGTCATCATTTACCCCAGAGGAAAAGGAAGACATCAGCATCACTCCAGTACTGGCTGAGAGACCCTGGCTCAGGCAGATTTGTGACCTCCTTTAGATTCCTTTCCCAGCTTCTCCTCTGCTCCTACCCGTTGATTTTGTTCTCTGTCCATTTACCCATGTGCTCATGTCTTCATTTCCAGTGTCCTCCCATTGAATGTGTTTCTCTGTCTTCTCAGCTCTCAGCTTGACAAGAACATTTATTTCTACCACATGGTCCTTGCCACAACTTTTCTTGTCTGTGCCTCTGAGACTGCCAGGCAACTTTGGTCTCAGGTCTCAGGGAGAATATGACATCTGTCTCAGAAAATGACTCCTGAGGTCCATTCTGTTTCCACTGACATGAGAAGAATTCAGGAGCAAATGGGAGGAGTCTTTGTGGAGAAGACAGGCAGTTTTCTAGAAGTTTAAGTTACAAATCTTTGGGGACTTCATTCTAGTGCCATTTCACTGCCTGCTCCTATGTCTGCTGTCAGTCAAAGGGAGAAGAAATGGAATTCTATTCTCAGAAAACTTCACCCACCTAAGAGGAACAGTAGCCACTGAAATATCTACAGCTTCATTAAGAAACTGAAGGCTGATAGCAGTAGGGAATGTGTGAGTGCCTGAGAAGGGGGGATATGTGTCATCCCAGGAGTGTGAAGTGCTGCAAAGTGCTGCCGGCCACCCTGCACTGTGTTTAGCTAAAGATATTTCTTAGCTGTCAAGTAGGAATCTGCTTTGGGTAAGCCTCTTCCCACTATGGAACCAAAATCTAATTCACAGCTTCGTTCTGATGTGAAGACTTCCCTTCCCATTCCACAAACACTGTCAAACCAGCAAATGGGATCCATACCCATGACCAGCTCACAGAAGCCTCCTCACCGTATGGCAGCTTCCTGAGCCTCCCTTGGACAGCATCCCCCACTGGATCAGCTTCTATATAACAAGCTGGAGACAGAAATGTGGCTTCTGGTCCAGTAGAAGGGTGCCTCATGCCATTCCACAGTGCCAAGGAGCTTTTCAATGAGTACTATAGTGTAGACCAGTCTACTGCCCCTAGCTTTTGAGAAAGGAAGGTAGATACCCAGAGGAAACTATATAATACAAAGGAAGGAAAGTCCTTTGAATGGACCAACCGACCTCCCTGGTAGCTAACATTAGCTGAGACCCTGAGCCAAAATTTCCTCTCTCTTTCCTGCTCAAGAGTGTCATCCTGTAAAACCATAAAATGAACCTTTTGACATTGACAAATCAGCTGCTTTCTATGCCAAGAACATATAGTGACCCAGGAGCAGACAAGAGTCCTCTTGTCTGACTTCAGAGAAATGCCATATACTGAGTTACATTTCAAAATCAGCAAAGCATTTTCTCATTGTTCTCTTGCCTTGCTCTTCTGAATACTGTCTCTGTCCAGTTGAGGATTCTCACACTAGTTCTTTGCCCCAATGTGTGTCCTCTGCACCTGCTTCTTAGTGTACCCACCTGCCTTTTTACTCTGCGTAGGCCTTACACTAGTCAGGTCCTAAACAAACAATAGATGGTTTTCTCCATGTCCCCTGTGATCCTTCAGGATGAAGGCTTTTTTGTCCTGGATCGTCTTCTCTTTTCTATAGCACAGAATCAGCTTATGAGCAAGGAATACTAAGTGTTTAGGAAAAGTTAAAGACCAACTTATGCTTTTCCTGAGATATGACATCAACCTTTCCAAAGGAAGAGAACTGGTCTAAAGTTCCTATGTAGACCCCTGATTGTAACAGGAATTATTGCTGGCATCCTCCTAAATGACCCCAGTGAACTCTTCAGCCACTTCCTCCTTGACAACTCTACATGAAATATATGGTCCTATAATATAAGCATGTCTATCCTACTTCCTTAACCCCATGGCATTGCTTTAGAGACCATTTCAACCAATACCATCAACACAAGCCCTGTGGAATACTGACTTGCCATGATGGATTACTTAGGAAGATTGTCCCAGATTGATCTCTAAGATACTCTGGGCCAGATCACTCTTCTTAAGTTCTTCAGCATCTCATGATGTGAAAATGTTCTCTAGTTATTCTCCCCTCTTCACATCCCAAAAAACAGAAGTCTTATCTATAGAATGCCTTGAGCACTTAAGAAGGAATTGCATTGCCCAGGTGTTGAAAAACTGTTCTTTCAAACTATTCTGGTTGTTCCTGTTTAAGCTTGAGTTTTCATTGCCATCACCCATCACCATCAGAGTCTTCATTATCACCATCATTGGAACCAGACAAGTACATACTTCTGAGCACCTCCTGCATTAACAATACTGTTCTACGTGTCACACGGCTAGTACAAGCTGTTGTTCTGTGACTGACAGGGTTACAAAACAAAGGTAAAGGGATGTGCCTGCTTTTAGAGGACTTAAATCTGAGTATAAGGAGGTAGATAACCCAACTGGAGTGTCTTCAGACTCACATACCAAAACAGAGAAATACAAGGGCACGTGTCATCCTATGTGAACCTATGGTATCATTGAGTAGAATGAATATGGTCATGAAGGTGTGGTGGGGGGCAATGAAAATGTCATTAATTCTAGAATCTAATTCTTTCCCATGAGAGAAATTGACCATCTCCTTTCTTCCCCTCCCCCAACTCCCTTTTTGTCTCTTGTTTGTCTTAGACTGATTGAAGGAAAGAAGGGAGTCAAAGTGGAAAACAGACCTTTCCTCTCAAAACTCATCTTTTTCAATGTCTCTGAACATGACTACGGGAACTACACGTGTGTGGCCTCCAACAAGTTGGGCCACACTAATGCCAGCATCATGCTATTTGGTGAGACTCTGCCCTGAGCTGGGCACCCAGGAAGTGTCAAGTGGGGAAGGGTTGATGGAGGGATGAGAATATGGAAGAAGAGAAGCAAAAGTGAGCTAGGCAGGGCGAGTGAAAGAAGGGGAGGGGGGGAGAGAGAACTGACTCATGCAGATATGAAAAAAAATCAGAAATGGAAAAAGAAAAATGGAAAGGAATATTCATTTCATTCTAAAATGACAAACGTCCTGAAAATGGTAACTTTTCTTTTCCTTCAGTGATGTCTCCGAAACTGAATCAAGGATTATAATTGGACAAAGTAGTTAAGAACCCATAGAAGAGCATTTACAATTTCAATCCTTTGCTCACTGGGTTAATCTAACATGTTCCCTTCTCTGAAACTTTCTTCCAGCCACTGGAACATAAGAGAAACTGAATTACATTCATAAGAGCAGAATCATGGGCCTTGGAATTTTTAATAATATGCATTTCAGAGAGAAATAGATAAAGAAGACAGAATGGGATTTTCCAGATTTCCTATTTGTGCTGAGCTAGTGAAGACATTTGTCCATCCATATCATCATTTTGAAAAGTGTCATACAGTTATTCATGCATTCATTCCGGAATTCGTTATTGAAGGACTAACTGTATAAAGCAAATTATTCTGTCTTCATTTCAAACCTGGCACTGTATTGGTGGCAGAAGCAGGAAGCAAGATTCTCGGAGACACCTGGACTCCCATGCCCTGTGAGCAGTGTCTGTGCGGGAGTGAGTCCCTGTACCTGTCTGTCCTCAGGAAGGATTCCAGATGTCTAGCAATGGCTTTAAAGTCTTAATGAATGCAGATAGTCCCTACAGGCTAAGCCATTGATTTCTGACTGGCTCTTGAGCACGTTTCTCCATACCCCACCAAGTTCAGGGATTATAGAATTTTCTAATCAGTTTCTCCAACTCTGTGTTGTAGAAACAAATCTGAGAGACGGCTCAGCAGTTAACAGCACTGGTTGCTCTTACAGAGGATCCGAGAGCATCCACAGGGAGGCTAATAACCATCCTGTAATTCCAGTTCCAGGGAATCTGGCACCCTCTTCTGACCTTTCTGGGCATTGAACAACACAACCTGGGTGCACTTACATACATACAGGCAATACTCATAAAATAAAAATAATAAATAAAACTTAAAAAATATACCCAAATGTGGTAGAGACAGAATGCAAAACCACAAACATAAATTATGGTTTTTCTGAAAATTCCTAAGCAATACCATACTCTCAAGGGCTCCACCCTCCCCTCTGCCCTACCATGTGTCCTTGGTGCCAGTGTAATGTTCCATGCTGCCATCTATACTTCTACATCACATCCTCTCAGCTTCTTGATCAGCATGTGAAACATAGCCCAGCTTTATCTGAGAGATCTGGGAAAGGAAAGGCCATCCTTGATCCCAGAGCAAACAACTCAGAAGGGGGCAGGCTGTGATTAGAGTGATTGATCTGCCTGGCATCTCTCACAACACAGAGATAATTTTAAGTGCCCCTCTCATTTGTCAGGCCATTTGGGATGTCGGCAGGTACCTGTCAGCATGCACAGAGGGCCAGGATTAGAAAGAAGCAATCCCATCCTCACTTGCCTACATATCCAAGACTTGTCCACACTCTTTCCCTCAGTGCCTTCTCACATCCTGCTCTGTGGCCACAGCCCTGCTCATACTTGTAAATAGTCTTCCTCCTCCTTCCAGCTCCTCTCTGTTCTGATTTGGAGGTATGAAATGGCTTTGCCACTGTCATAATTGCTGCTGTCTAACTCTCCAGCCCTCTTCCCTTAAGCTATCTCAGGATGAGGACAGGAAGAAGCAGAAGACTCTTAAAAGTAAAATAACTGGCATTTGTGACAAGAAAATCAATGATGCCTGGGTCATAAGTATGCTCTTGTCAGTAGACCTGTGTGTGGCAATTATAACTTTGTCTCCCCTTCCCCTCCCACCACTAGTCAGATAGCACTCACCCTGCCCCTCCTTTGGGACATCCTCTTCATTGACAGCATTATGGAGTCTAGGGTTCTCTAAAGCAACCATTATAAAGAACCTTTGAAAATGAATTAAAAACTGGGCTAACCAAAGATGAATGGAATACACTGGGGATATTCTTTAATGAAGGAGTTCTCAGAACCATATCATGGGAATCTCTAGGAGAGAGCTGCAAACCTGTATCAGCTTCAAATTAGTCAAACAGAAACGAATTTCATTTGTTAGTGTTATTAGAGAGACTATTCCTGAGGAGCCCATCACAGAAATGCTACATGGGTACCATCATTCCATAAAACTAGTAAAACTTCGCTAATGTTTAAGGAGAGCATTTTCAACCCCTCAGCTCAAGCTGGACTTCGACCAGGCATTGTTGTGGTTCCTAGCTCATTAGTGAGGCTCATTATCAATGAGGTTCTTTGACAAATACCAATTTATTAGGGCATGGTCCATGTCATTTTCACTAAATTCCATCAAATAGTCTACCACAGATTGGACAGCAGCATTTACTTTTTGTGAATATACAACATCGGTAATGCAGTTCATTCTCCAGGACCACTGCAGAAAGCAGTGTATTATTGTCATTTTTGTCATCAACTTACACATAAACCACGTCGTACTGAAAAGTGAGGAATTTTGGTATAAGGATTCCAATGGTGATTATATCTCAGGAGACTTAAGTCCAAAGTGAGTAGGTAGATCTTCCCATTACGAACCAATAAGGCTCTGAGCACCTGATCTCTGGGCCTACAGAGCTGGCAGTGGATTTCTGAATCACAGTGGTTTCAGGGGGTTCTTATTCTGATCATGGTACCATGGGATCAGAAATTCCTGCACATAGCCTCCAATGGTATGATAACGGGATAAGGATGTGGAAGGGAACTCTCACCTGGGAAGAGGCTTTGCATAAGCTAAGTGTGAATCCATCTGCACTGGGAAATACATGCAGTGACTCACCACCTTATTTCTCCATCATCCCATCCAGGAGAGGAATCAAAGGCCTTTCAATGTTTCTTTTGCTGTACCTTGTCCTTTTGCTTTGGTTTTTGTGTCTTGTGTTATTTATCCATTCCCCAAGAAATGCTTGTGAAATGCAGTATACAAACTATATATGAAACATATATAGATACTGTATATAATCTATGTGTTTGTTTTCATTTTTCTCTCCTGTATGGCCCCCACCCGATTTAGAACTAAATGAGCCTACAAGCTCAACTTTGTTGCAAGGTCAGTATCTCCCTTGCCTTATGTTTGCTCTCCCCTCTCCTCAATCCCAGAGCCCTCATCCTCTCCCTTTCCCTGCTGTGGATTTCCTGACATTCTTAGCAGTAAAGTTGCTTAAAACTGTGGAAGTGGAAGGCTATTAAAGGAGGTTCTTGGGACCTGGTGAAATTCCATGGTAGATTTTATTCTGATCATCTCTTTCCCATACCACCTAGGAGGGCTAAGAGTGGGAAGGCAAATAAAACATCATTAAAATATCAAATACAGAAACCAGCATAAGGATAAGATTTGAAAGAATAAATCTGAACTGATAGGAAGACAGTACAACCACTAACCTCAGTGATAGCCAATGGCAGGTTATCACTTTTCGTAAGAAGTGCTCTACTCAGTGCCCCTCAGCAACAGACTCAAACACATGTTCGTGGAGGCTCAAATGATCCATGAAACAAGCCACCATCATCTGGTCCACAAGGTTCTCCAAAAAAGGCCTATGCAGGAAGTAATGATCTCGGGCAGGGTACCAAAGAACCATCTCACAGCTGACCTTTAAGAGGTCTCAGTTCTTAAATAAATCACAAAATCTTATTTGGACTCAATATCTTCTTTTATAAAGTATAATCTACCCTATTGAGTTCCAAGTCCATCTATAAATACATTTTAAAAGGCTTTGAAGCCAGTTGGGCACATTTTAAATTTCCAGATAATGGCTGAAAGACAAAGACTTCCTCCTCTGTAAGGGACACATTCCATCCACTACTACCTCCTTTTTTTTTCTCGATCTCTTCTCACCAGGCTTTTGGCCTCCTCTTCCACTCTGAGCTCCTGCACATGTATGACTTCTATAGCTCCTACCATGCTGTGGACACTCTGTGTCCCTTCCCATTTCCCTCAGGTCCACCAGCCAGTGTGAGTGACATGTTACAAGTACAACAAAGTTTTGCCACATGTCATTGTCCTCCTCTAGGGGACAATTCTGATTTTGTATGTTTGTTGTTTGCTTGTCTATCTGTTTTGCCTAGCTGGAGATTGAACCCACGATATATTACAGGCTATGCAAGTGATTTACCACTGAGCTACATACCCAGTCTTTAACACCAGTTTTGACCCAACTGAGCCCACTGGGAAGAAATCTGAAAAGTTAATGAGAGAAGTGACTTTCCTTCCCCACAACCTAATCTTCTGACCTCCTTCTTCCCACCCCTTCCCCTATACCCATCCTATTCATCCATTTACATTCTGACTGTGTGGACACAGCATTAGAACAGCATTAGATCTGGGAGGCAGAGTAAAAGATAGAAAGAAATAAAGTACAGAGGAGCTATGTGACAGATGAGGAAAAATGTTTTTATCATGAAAAGAGGCAGGGCTGCATTATTCACCTTAGTGATGCATAGCACCATGGTGATGAACCAGGAACAGAAAAATGAAATAAAGAAATAAGAAGGAGGAGAGTTAGTGAACATATTCAGACTCAGCTTGTGATGTAACTTCTGCTTTTGAATCCCCAATGAGGCACCTTCACAGATCTAAAATAAAGAGGATTAGAAAAGCATTAACGTCAATGGTAGAAGGAATAGGTGTTACCATGATGCTTTCAGAAGTTATTAAACTAATTCTGACTCCTAGAACTTCATTCTTAAAGGAAATAGGAGCGTTTGACAGTCAGGTAATTATTCCTAACAAGAAATGCTTAATTGGAGTTATAGTCAAACAATGGAGAACCATCTCCTCACAAAAATGCCATGCGTGTGACAAACAAGAACAGGTCTCTATTCCTGCTGACTGAGCAAAAGACTAGGAGCAGGAGAAAATATTGTCAGGGTCCAATTGCTGAGCAGAGCTGTGATGTCTCACGAACCTCTTTTCAATCTGTGTTAAAGTATCTCTATGCCCACGTGCCCACTTCATACTCCTACTCCTAGTCTCTGCTTATCCCCTAATTTTAACATCCTTATCATTGGGTGAAAGGCAAGGCAGAAGTCATAGACTATAGATATCTGGAATATTCTGACAGATTCATGAGGCCTTCAGGATAGCCACTGGACTCTATTGTGCAACTAGGAGTATTTTAGAAGAAGCAGACATTGCCCTTGAACACATTCACTTATTTCAACTGTGTTCCTTTTCCCTTGCCTTGGCTAGTGTCCAATAGACCAGAAGAGTTACCTGTTTTCTCAGAGAGTACCTCCAAGTGATGTTCATCTTATCAGAGGAACACCAAAAAGATTTATAGAAATGTATGGGTCTCTACTGACAATGAGCACTTGGCTTTAAGAGAAGTTCAAAGCTACTTTGCTGCCTAATAACTGGATGGACTAGAAGGTTTTTGATAAGAGAATTTCATTCCTCCTCAGCACTTTTCGCCTCTCTTGACATATTTCTCTGCTTCCCTTTTGCAAACACAACAGATTACATGTCACCTTCGAGTATTAATATTTGGTGGTGGAGGATTCTCACAGTGATACATAAGGACTCCAGGCTGTGCCATCATCCCTCACAGAGTGTCTACACAGGCAGAAGTGTGGGGCCTACACTGCAAGCTCAGCAGCTCCTTTTCTATCCACTGGCCCTCTCCTCTGTTTTTGATCTTCTCAGATTTGATGGTATCATAGGGCTAAGTAAAGTTGACTGATTAATGCTTGTGAAGCTCATAGCAGCCATTAAAGCAGTGTAAAGAATGGGCAATCTGAGTACACTCTGAGTATCAGAAAGAAGCAAATGAGACAGAAAAGATCATCAGTTCTTCCCGTAGAGAATTCAAGATAGTTAATTAAGCCAGCCTACCAAGGAATTAAACAGTTAGCATTTCTATGACGTGTATGTGGAAAAACAACAACAATAATAATCTCTTACCTTCTTTCTGGAATTGTTGAATGAACATTTATTCTCAACAAGCCCTTCTCTGTCTGTGAGAATGAGAGACCAATCGTGAGTACTTAGATTCAGTTATGAGTATTTGCTTTGCTGGCTGAATAAACCCTTCTGGATTAAGCAGAGACATTGAATATTGCCTGACCAGGAGACTAAAAGTTTAAGTAAAGGGGCTCTTTTTCCTTTTAGTTTTTGTTTCCATTTTCACATATTTTTCTCTTCTTCCCATTCCCTTCCCTGTCTCCATTCCTTCCTACCTTCTTTCTTCTATCTTCCTGCTTCCCTCTCTACCTTCTTTTTTCTTTCTCTCCTCCCACACCCTGCCTGGCTTTGTATTAATACATCACTAGCAAAGAGGTCAGGGAAATCTTAATCAAGGCCTTGTTGAAGAAAAAGTTTGAATTTCTAGGGATTATTTCTTTTCTTGATAGCCAAGATGCCACTCAAAGACAGATCATATGGTTACTATTGACTTTAGAACTTTCACAAGATTCCCTGTACAGATACAAGTATAGCAAGTCACCATGACAGAAGTGATGGTGTTGAAATTCTTACATCTCCTCTTAATTCTAGAACAAAGGCAATTTTAATGGCCTACTGCCTATATAAAGAACACCACACCTGCATTCCCCCCCCCCATGTGCTGCTCAGCAAGGGTGGCAAACCTGATCTTTAACGGGAAAGGCTGAAATATTGCAGTGCAGAAAAGACCCAAAACACTGGGTTCTAGATAAGACCAGGGACAGGTGTCAAATTGTTCTCTACTTTTGTGGATGCTAAAGAGTTGGCCTTCTTTCACATAGTGTGTGCTAGGAGTTCAGGGGTAAGTGCGAGTGGGGACAATTAAGCTGAAGTTGTTTCCAGATATTTGCTTTAGCACCTAAAGCAGGAATGTGTGCCTTCAGCTTCCTCCTCTTTCTGATTGTCCCCCATGACATGGAAGCTTACTTCTGTCCTTCCTGTAGCCCAGTCTGAACTAGCACACCCATCACTCTGTGGATGATCCTCTCCCCCTCCCCCACACAAGATATCTCACATTTGCTTTGTTTGTTTGTGGTTTGGAGACCAAAAAGTTGTATGTCTTCGTTATCCCTCAAATTCTCCCCAAGTTGTCCTTTCTTCAGGGCTCCTTCCTTCTTGGCACAACCGGCCCCTCCTTAGCTGGGCTGTTTCAATAGCCCAGTGAACACTCCAAGGGACTGTCCTTGCCAACTGCACAGAGCATATGGGACCATCACACCTGGCTTTCCTCTCCCATCCTGGCTTTATATCAGCATTTCCTTCAATGACAACGCATTTGATCACCTTTCACATCTTTGTATCTTCAACAGGACATTGTGGGGCTGCTAACATCCACTTACATCAGGAACTTCTCATAGGTTTGGTGCCTTTAAAGAACAGCTTGAGAGCTTGAAGCATAGCTATGTATGTATCTGACTGCAAGCAAGCACTGTAGTTGCATTTAGGATGCACTGCATCTAAGACTGTTTTCTTTCTAATTGTGAGGACTTATGCACAGAGACAATAGACTTTTCAATGTACAACACTCTCATGTCATTTCATACCCTCCCTGTATCCAGGTGAGCAACTATGCAGGCCCTTAGCTAAAGAGGGGTTTAAAAGATGAATGATCATTATAAATCAAGCCAGACAAGCCTTCTGCTATCCACAGAAAAGTTGCAGACGCTTTCTGTGTGTTTCTCTAAGAGCTTGCTACGGGGAAATGGGAGTCTTTCACAATCCAGTCTACAGAGTAGCCATAATTTTTATAGGGGCTCCCAGCAAATGTCACTGTCTCAGGTGGCCCCAGAGAGAAGAAGCCCAAGAGGCCATCTTGAAGTCAAATATATCAAAGGTCGAGGCTCCTCCACCATCTAAGAGCTCACTCAACAGTGTTTCCGAATTTAAGTCCAACTTTCACATTTCATACGTAGCACAGCTACCTGCGCTCATATTGCTGTAGTATAAATTTTTCTGTGTCAGCCAACTTTATTCCTAAGGCCGAAAGAATTCATCAAATTAGAAGATAATCTAAAGAAAGAAAGAATGTTGCTCTACAAAGAGATTTTGACACGACAGCTTAGACTGCAAAGGTATAGAGCATCTCCTGCTAAGATTAGGTGGAGGATTAGGAGCTGCTTCCATCTGTGGTCCGCTCTAACAGTCATTCGTACACTTCCTTGGCCTCCAGTTCACTTCCAGCTAGAAAACTGAAGGGGGATTGTGAGTGCTGGGCAATGGTTAGTACAGCAAGACTCAGGTCTAAGAGGCCGGGGGAATCTCTTCAACGCAGAGCATCACCTTGTTCCTAAGACCATCTGAGGGCAAATTGAGCACCTCTAGCTGCTTTCTGCCTTAACAGTGGCTTATTTTTAATTTTTTTTAGAAGTGAAAACTACAGCCCTGACCCCTTGGAAAGGTTGGTATGTTTACTTCTCAGGCAGCTGATGCCTTGGTGGTAATGGGGTATGTAGATCTCTTCACCTTCTGCCTACATGCCATCTTTTCTAAGCTTACCTCTGGAAGCAATCTAGAAGGACCCCTCCCTGACCTTGAGTGGCTGGGCATCAGTTTAGATTAACCCCATCCCCAATGATGTCACATCCTCCTTGAGTCGCTCCACTTGCACGAGTTTAACTGGTCTTTGCAGTGGCACTAATGGACCTGTACCGGGAAGAGTCCAGTTCTGGGCTCCTGCCACAGGCTTGTCTTTCCTTGCTGATGGAGCTCTAATGCAACAGTCTTCTCAGACCTTGGCCTTGCATGCTGCCTTTTGCTTATTCCCTGTTCTCCTTCTCTAACTTGGAGCTGGAAGGGAAGTGGGGAAGGGGGAGGGGGGCCTGGGAGGAAATGGGGGGTTCTTGGGTGAGTCATTTGGCCAGGAATAAAATGTGTCTTATTTGAGGCTTTCAATCCTGCCAGATGTTTCAGATGGATAATTGACACTCATCACAGTTCTCTGGGACCCTAACTGTCCTAGTAATTAGTCTCTTTAGGCCTCTGCTGCTCTCTAATGAGATAGTGTCAATAAAGGCATCCAATGTGGGTGGAGGCGTGGCTGGATGGAGAACAGATGCCTCATCTGTGTGACCATGTCACCAGGCAGATGGGCTGAGCTGTCACTTCCCTAGCACCCCCTGGATTAGGGCCTTGCTCTCAGCAGGGTGTGAGTCAAGTTTGTCTGGATCAAGGATCCTTACCCCACAGCATTCTTCTCTGTGCTCAGGGTTGGGCAGGCCAGTCTTCAGCAGTGTCCAGCTGGGTCTCCAAATTCTTGCCCTTCTCTGAATGTACATGATCTGAGCTAGTGGGAAGCAAACTGCATTTGGAAACTGAAGTTAAGGAACCAGGAAAGGTTCATAAGCTCTGAAAGTTAGTTTCCACAAATTCCAAAATTCCAAATTCCACAAATTCCCCCTGCCCTTTCTGATTGCCGGTACTGTACCTGAATTCCTAGCCCAAGTGGTTTTGCTTCTGGGTAGACAGTTCTAGAATCTTCAGTCACTTTATTGGACAGAGTTAGAAAGGGAGTGGAAGGGTACCTGTAAGAGAAATTGAGGCAAAGCAGAAAACATGATAGGGAAAGTATTGTTTCTTATATGACTTTTCTTTCTTTCTTTCTTTTTTTCTACTTCTTCCAAGTATTGTTTAAAAGAAAGAAAAACAGAACAAAGTAGATGTGGACATGTCAGCATCAGTCAGGGCTGTTTACTTTTTTCAGCAAACACTGAATACTTGCCACGACCAGTGACCAGTAAGACACACACCCTGCCCTTAGGAAGCCCATAGCAAGCCAGATGCGGTGGCACACAACTGTAATCTCAGTACTTGGGAGGTTGATACAGGAGGATCAAAAGTTCAAGGTCAGCCTGAGCCTACATAGGGAGATCCTGTTTCAAAGAAACAAGAAACAAATGAACAAGAAGAGGAGGAGGAAAAGGAGAAGGAGAAGGAAGAGCAGGAGGAGAAAGAGGAAGAAAAGAGGAGGAGCAAGAAGAGGAGGAGGGAAGGGAGGAGGAAGAGGAGGAGGAGGAGGAGCTCGTAGCTCATAGGAGAAACTGCATGACAGGCAAATAAAAATTGAATTCAGGGTGATATTTAATAGCAGTATGCATATGGTACTGAAAAAAAAAAATCAAGGAAAGCTGATAGAAGTGACTGGAGGCCAGACAGAGCTGCAGTAGAGAGTGGGAGTGAGTTAGATGAAGAGCCATTCAGACAAAAAGACAGAGGGTGTGAAAACATAAAAGAAAGAGACCATGGCTGGAGAGTGCCAGCCTGTGTGTTTGTGTCTTTGTGTGCACATGCTTGTGTATACACGTGCTGCCTCTGTATGTACACATGTGCCAACATGCACTGGAGCAAAAGCACCTAAGAAAGCATGACAGGAAGACAGTCAAAGGCAGCAAGCAGACGATACAATATGATGACAAGCGTTCTGCCAAGAAGCTGAGTGCTTTTGTTAGGGCTGTACGACTCAGCTTGAGCAGTTTGAAACTGTAGAAACATTACTATAGAATTAACATAAGGGACAAATGTGCTAGGTCCAGGCAGCACATGGCAAGACTAGCTGGTCAACATTGTGATTTAGAAGGTAAGTCAAAGCAGGCTGTCTCTTCTGGCTGGTATGTCCAGACCCCTTACATCAGGCTACCTCTGTTTCCTGCTCCTTCCAACCAGCTCCTCCAAGACAGATTTCCTGGAGGTGCCGGAAAGATTCACAGAGTAGGGCAGCATAAGGTAGAGGCGATGGGCAGGCTATCGATGGTCACTAAAGCCTGAATAGGAACTGCAGGAAGGCCTTCCAACTATTTCAGGACAGCTCTTCTTCCAAAAAAGGCAATGTGTTCATGGGCATTTTTCTTGTTTTCTATAGAAAGAATTCGCTGGCTTAGGACCTGTCCCTATAGACTTCCTGTGGTGCTTCCCATCATGGAACAGAGCCACAATGGAGCTCTAGGGGGTATACTAATGTGACTAAACAAGGGTGTCAGAGAGAGTACCTGGCAAAGCCTCTAGGCTATTGTGCAGAGTCCCCAGACTAGAACAAAGTGTTTTCTTACACGGGAATCAGACAGGGCCTCTGCTGGCCATATGAATGATTGTGGCTTCTGCCCCTCAATCAATCATGAAAGGATGGAATACAGGAGAGGAAGAGCATCCAAATACTCACAGGAAATTGGCACTTATTCCCCTATCTTTTTTGTCCCTAGGCATCTTCTTGGCTAAAGCAGGAAGGTGGGCAGAAGAGGGCAGCTTCTGCTGGGGCTCAATAGGGTCTGAGATTCAAACTGAGTATCTGAGCATTCAGAGGAGCAAATGAGATAAAAGCGAAAAGAATTCATGTGCTAACAGTTCTGTGTTCTGCTAGGTTCCCATCAGGCCAGGTGTACAGCAGGTGAGGTACACAGGACACATTCAGCTTATACTTTGCAAGTTTCATGTAGGAAGATGGAATGGACCACTCATTTCACCAGGGAAGATATGAATCCTGGCTCTCACAGTCTATCGCAGAGTCCTCAACCTGGGACACAGACAGGGGCCAAAATGGGAAAACTAATGGAACAGTCCAGAGGGGAAGGACTTCTTCAAAGGATAGAAATATAGCCTCTCCCCATGGGATGTCAAGGAGTGGTTCCTGTCTTCTGGTGAGACCAGGGAAAATGTGTGAAGACAAAAGCGAGTGGTTCTAGTTTGTATGGAAACCTAGCAGTTAGAGTCTAGAGGATGTGACATGTTAGTGTCTAATCCTAAGTGAAAGGTAAGCCCCTGGGGTTTTCATAGTCATGCATCTTTGTCACCTGTCTCCCTAAGACTGCTTTTCATTTTGTGTGGCACAGAAAGTCACCTCTCTGCCAGGCAGAGAACAAGACAGGATTCCTTGGAGCTTTTTAGCATGAGGACTTACATTGCCAAAAAACTCTAACTTTGTGAATCTTATAACCCGGGTACCAAGCTAACATGAGGTTGGACAGCCTCTATTCTCAAAGCTAAGAAATGCAATCATATGGGCAGTAGCTAGGCCAGAAACTCTAGGATTTGACAGGATATTCCCAGGTATAATCAAGATGCCTGGTTGACTCTGGTCTGAGTTAAACAGAAGTGACGGCCAGTGCTGAACTTCTAAGTCAGGGGACCAGGTTGTGGCAGTGTTGATGTGAGGACAGAGACTGAATGTGGCCACCAGCTCCAAATACTTCCATTCAAATTCAATGCAACACAGTAGACCAGAGCAGGTCCAATCAGAGACAGGTCATTAAGTGTCTAATGCACCTGGCGTCTGACCTTATTCTTCAGGAATCAGCACTGCCTTTGCAATGGGCTTCTTGGTTCCAGGGATCAAAGTAGCTCAGAACAGTGTATGTGAAAACAGTTGGGCAGCTGCTGGAAAGTTTTAGAGCCTTGCTGTTCACTTGATCTTGTATTTGGTTCCGTCTCAGAGAGTATGTTTACAGACCAGGTGGGTATGTGCCTCATAGGGAAAGGTGCCCTCTAAACAGGTTTTGTACCCCAATGCCCATGTAAAGCCCTAACTACAGCCATTTCCACACAGAAAATGGTCTTGTTCCTTTCCCACCTCTACCATATTGGAGCTCGTTTGGTTTTTTTCAGGCATATAACATGTAAGCTGCTATCTGCTGTTACCTTGACCAGATGGGGAAGAGGCCAAGTGCTCTACAGGGAACCCAGCTCCACCCTGAGACAGAGTGATTGACAGAACGGACTCTGTGCTCTGCAGAGCAGTGGCAGCTGGCAGACAGATTGTGGGGCCCAACAGGTCCTTTCCTGAACAGCAAAGGTTCATGGTAGTCAGAGCTCAGAAGGGGATAAACGATGGTGGTGGAAATGGCAGGTGGTGCAAGGATCAGTCTTTATTGAAGTTCTGTGTAGAATTTTTCTTCATCTACCACTTTCTTGTTGAACTTGTCCCTGAGTCCTGAACTTAGCACATTATACCACAATACATATTGCTTGAACTGGAGTCGTCTTATAAGGGAAAACTGCCTGTTGCACAGTGAGTGTCCACTTGAGAAAGAACTTCAGAAAGTTCTTTGGATGGGACACCAGATGCTCCTCTTAGTGGGATGCTTCAGCAGAATCCCGGTGACACCAGACCAGGTCACCAGGTCAGGCCAGGTGAGGATGTTTCCCATCTTACATCAGACATCTCACGACATGTGTGTTCTCTCCACAGGCCCAGGTGCTGTCAGCGAGGTGAACAATGGGACCTCCAGGAGGGCAGGCTGCATTTGGCTCCTCCCTCTTCTGGTCTTACACCTGCTCCTCAAATTTTGATGTGAGTGCCCCTTCCTTGCTGGGGGAGAGCTGCCGCCACTGCATCTCAACACAACAGCACGGCAACACGACAGCAACAAGTCAGAATCCAACGAAATTCAGAGAATCACAGCCAATGGGACAGAAATTCGAGGGAGGGGAACAAAGAATACTTTGGGAAAGAAAAAAAATAAGTTTAAAAAAGGAAATTGAAAATTGCCTTGCAGATATTTAGGTACCACTGAGTTTCCTTTCTTCTCCCAAATGGGAAGAACGCACACCCGGCTTGGACCCACCCACAAGCTGCATTGTGTGACCTCTCTGTTGCCAGGGTGGGCAAGGGCTCAGCCACTCTGCCCACTAAAGTGCCCCACCATGGAACATTCTGGAGTCGGCCATCCCAAATTCCATCCGTCCCTAGAGACAAGCACAGAGTGAGAAACAAGGGCCCAGATGTGCCACGGAGGGCCCTTTGGTGGACTACGCCACAGTGGCGTGTGTCATGAAGTGTGAAATCAGAAAAGAAAGAAGGAAAAAGGAAACTAGACAGCCTGACAGCACCATGATCCCACAAGCGATGGTCACATCGATATTGTTAAATTTTTATTTCTCATTTTACCACACGGACATCATGGATAATAAGGGATTCTGATCCATTATTAATTTTATTAATTATATTTTCTGATATGAGTCTAGAACTTAGTGCAAAAAAAGAAACAAAACTAAAAATACATACATGAGAGGGGTGAAGAGAAGTGTGTTTATTAAGCATTAAGAATGAATAGTACACTACTTACCTAGGTTTACAACTGGTGGACCACACACCAGGTACTAACCACCTGGTGAGGATTTGGCAAATCCACCAAAAACACATCTGGTTTAACCAACACCTCCACCAGCACTACAAATCCCTCTTCATCCTGGCATTTCATGCAGACAGTACTATGCTATCTACATACTGTTTAGAAATGGAAAGTTGATCTGCACTCTATTTTGGTTTGTTAGCTATGCTTCTTTTGAGGACTTATATTATACAGTATATATATACATATATTTTTTTTCGTTAGAGTTCTAGCCATTTTGTTTCTCAGCAGGGTCCTTTCTCAGACATTACTGCATGCTGTATATGGCGTTAGCTGTGTGTTGATCTTCTAAAAGATGATAGAGTTTACTGGTAATTGTGTAATCAGCTCCTGCCTTTTTATTTTCTTGGGTTCTTTACATGTCAGAGACATTTATGGAAAGTGAAAAGAACAACAGCAACAATAACTAATATCAGGCGCAGCATCTTTCCAGGTGTGGCTCTCTGAGGCGGAGGCCTCAGGCTTGGCTTCTTCATCACACCTCGGGGCATTAATGGACAGCAAGCAACTGAACCAACTAAACCTTCAGTAATCACTTGCTTTAGCCCATTGTGGGAATCCCTGATGCCTTTGTGACCACTGGAGAACTTAATCCTCTTGGTTTCTTTTATTTAAATTCCTACCTTTGTGTGAGTGTGTATGAAAGAGAAGAAAAATGCAGTTTTTAGGTAACCATTTTTTTCCTCCCCAAGTCTGGGGACCAGAGAGGCCTCGGGGAGGGGTCCTGGATGTGATGAGGGAAAGTGGGATTGGGGGATAGGGGAGGGAGGGGTTGTCTCTGACTTGACATTAAAAAGTGTTCCATGTCCCTCTTCACCTGGTGTGATACCTCATTCTGTAGTGGGTGGGGTAAGTCTACCTGGCTGGGTTGGAGAATGGGGCAGGGTGGGCAGCTGCAGAGCTCCTGGGATGGATGGGACCTTGCTATGGCAAGTCCTCTGATAACAGACAAGAGGTTTATGAGACTCCCTTCATCCTCTCATGGATGCAAGGGAGCCAAAGTCTGGAGGAGACCTTGTCATTAACTTCAGGAGGTCTTGATGAAGGCTGCTAATATCCTGCTTGTCTTCAAATCTCGTCTCGTCAGGTGTCAAAAGGACAAGTCCAGTCATGGCTTTTACTTCCAATGATTTCATGGTGGTCTGTATTAAATGACCCCAAATCCTATGAACTAATATTCTGGGGACCGTCTGCTTTCCATGCCTATTGCCTTCCCTGCAAACCTTACCACTACCCACAAATGACCAGGACAGGAAGACTTTAGTGTAAAAACATTAAAGTCATTCTGACTGTTTCTGACTGATTCTGGGATTTAAACATGCAGCAGAAGATTCACCTATAGAGTTCGAAGTGAAGTGACAGTCTGAACAGTCAGGAGCTACTGCCCTTGTGACGTCAGGGGTCAGATTTGCCTGAGAGGAGTCAGAACGTTTGGAAAGAAATGCTGTCATTTTCAGCTGCCACTGGCAACACGGATATGCAATTACTGACTTTACCTCTCGCCACCCTCCCCACCTTCCCACAGCAAATGCATCCTCACCTCCAGGTGCCAGGAACCTCAGCTTCCTCCTGGCAGCAGTAGAAGAATCTGGCTAGGTCTCATAGACTTGGGTGGCTGCTTTTGTTGCCCCTTCTTCTGTCCTAGAACCTCTGGAAGGGAGTGACCTTGGATTTCCTTAGAATGAAAACAATATGCAAAAAGCCAAAACATGCATCAAAGGAGCAGGGCATGGTGTGCCCACCTTTAATCCCAGCACTTGGGAAGCAGAGGCTGATGGGTCTCTGTGAGCTCAAGGCCAGCCTGGTCTACATAGTGAGTTCCAGGCCAGCTGGGGCTAAAGAGAGTCCCTGTCTCAAAAAGACTGGAAAAAAAAATCTAAACAAGCATTAGTAACAAAGGAACATTTCTTACCTACAGCAGGTAAGGAGAGTGGGATTTATTTTCAAAGCACTACCCTCCTAAAACTAAGGAAGTACAAGATTTTATTCACAGAGCCCATGTGCACGCGCACACACACACTTTGGACATGGATACATGGATATAGATCAAAGCCTATTGCTTTCAGTTATGCCTGGAACTAAGGAAATAAAGGAATTTCATTCAGGGAACATATATATAGATAGATAGATTATATATGTGTGTATACAGATTTATACATATATACTATTCATATAAAAAGGCACACTTTAGGAGTGGGCACAGAGATGCAAACCCATTGCTTTCAGTCATGTGCTGTATGCTCAGTTTTCACTAAACCTAAAATTGCACTAAGAAATAAGGTCAATAATTTCTTCATTATAAGAAAAAAGGATGAACGTGGTAGGTGAGATTTTTCTATCCCCCCATCATGCCTGACACAAGCGCCCACACTGGAGGGTTTGGTTATAGATCACAGGTCACTGGAATAGAGTATGGAAAATGCCGGTGACTTTCTTATTCATAAAGAAGGGCCCAGAAATCCCTCTGAATAAGATGTGCCAAGACTGCTGCAAAGATCCACTAAGCTCCCCTGAGATGAGAATGTGGTCCATAGCCTTTGTTTGAATAGGAGCTTTCTCTTTCAAATACACTACTATGAGGGCCTGGAGAGACAGCTCAGTGCTTAAGAGCACTGGCTGTTCTGGCAGAAGACCTGGATTCAAATCCCAGCACCTTCATGGCAGCTAACAACCATCCATAAATCCAGTTCCAGAGGATCCACCACCCTCTTCTGTCCTCTGCAGGCATTGCACAACACAGGTGCACTTTTATACATGCCAGCACAACAGTCACACACATAAAAATAAATAAAAAATACACTACTACTATATGTCAATAGCTACCAGACTACTACCAGCAGACACCCCTAATCTGCCTCGGGTCACTTTCTGACCATCTAGTCTGAGTGAATGTAGCGAGAGCCAACATGGTAAACTGGTGCTCATGAGTGACACACCATTCTGTCTCTGTCAATCCCTTACTCCTCTTGCCTATGGTTCTTCAATGATCTTATTATGGAAGACCGGGTTCTTGCAGGACCACTTCACCGTGGCTGATGAGCTCTCCAGACAGGAGATCTCCTGACTGTGTCTTAGAAGCAAAAGTTTCCTCAATTCTGCTTAGCCAACCCATGTGTTCCAAATTTCTAGGAAACTCAGAAGGAATGCTATACTCCCTTTTGCGTCAACTAAATTTAGAGTTCAATCTGGAAGGACAAGGCTCATGGCAATTTATAGGGTCAATCCTTAGGCTTCCTTTTGCTGGAAAGAAGAGTTTGAGAAGAGAGTTTATCAAAATGAGGGGAAACAATCACTCAGAATAGAAACTGTGGTGAGTTTTTTCTTCATACTGGGACAAATAGAATATAATTTCAAGTGCACCGGACCTCTTGTGACTCAGAGATAAGTCACTCCACATACTTCAACATGAGGATATCCCTTAGGGGAACTGGCAGATTACTATACCGTGACAGCTTCTTATGTGTGCAAAGGGGATAGTTGTGGAGGGATAAGCCCTAACCATTTTCACAAAATACTTTTGTAGAATTCCATTCATCTTCCAGAAGAACATCTGCTCTCAGCCAGCCACAGGGATGTGCAGTAGCTTTCCAGTCCCTGTAGATAAATCTCCCCATTCCTACTTTACACAGTGAGCCTGGATGTTTACCTTGAAGCTCCATATTTATCCCAAGTGTGACTTCTGATCAATAGGCTGTGCCAAGAAGGAGCTATGTTCATAGTCAACCATCCTCTAATGGTCATATTGTGTGCTGTGGATGGTGATGATGAATGATAGCTATTATTCCCCAAGATGGAGATAAGTGAGCAAATGAATTAACACCAAAATCTGACTGAACATCAGCACATTCCACTGGCCTGACCCATCTTTATCTTCTACTTCCTGAACCTTGAGTTTAGAAGGGAACACAATAGAATTCATTAATCCCAAGTATCTAACTGTGTAGATTTGTTTGATTTAGCCAGGCATGGTGGCGCACGCCTTTAATCCCAGCACGTGGGAGGCAGAGGCAGGTGGATCTCTATGAGTTAGAGGCCATCCCAGTCTACATGATAAGTTCCAGGACAGCTGGGGCTACAGGGAGACCCTGTCTCAAAAAGAAAAAAAAAAAAAAAAATATGCCCTACAGGTTCAGCAAAACATGAATTTTCTAGTATTAGAGTGGTTAATAAAAATGAGATACTTGTCACTAAAGGGCAAAAATATATGCATGAGAAGGGGTGTGGGAAACTTGCAGTCTTTGGTCATGCAGAACCAAAATGCTGTGTGGTACTCTTGACCAAAGGCATCTGTACAAGGTAGCTGTTCACCCTTCATCAGACAATCAACAAAATAATTGGAACCAGTGGTATCTGATAGAGGATACAAGAACCATCTCCTTTTGGTGTATTTTTAAATTTCTAAACCAAATGCCAGAGCTAATTGGACTCAGACCTTTTTCATTGGGATTTGATTATGCAGTTAGCGCTTCCTTTGTTACCTGATGGCTGAGCAGCCAAGCCAATATAACACACAAGTTCTTCCTTCTATCTGTTTTAATTCAAACCTTGTTTTCATTAGCATCCAACTTTATCCTCCTCCTAAGCAATAAATGAGAATTAATATCCTCATGACTTGTGAGTAACAGTTTTTTAGGTCTCTGTATCTGTTTCCACAACTCTATTGGGTCTCCCATCATGCCTATATCCTATAAGTAGAACCACACAGCCCTTGTTAGAAAAGTCTCCTTAATTCCCAAGCTCAAGTTGAGATCAGTTCTTACAATTTATGTCCGATGCATTTTGATGTGTCATCCTTTATGAAGGTGACCTGGTTTGGCTTTGGTTTTGAATGCTGATTTTCTTCCCATGCAAGCCTCCAAATAACTTGAATGATTTCTTCTGGCATATGGTGAAAGTATATGAGTTCATCTCTGTATTTTGGAGATTGTTAATGCTTTTTTAAAATGCATATTCCTCTACCCATGCATCTATCGTCTATTTGATTAAAGCTTCTTAGAGTGGCCATAGCACTTATGTTGTTCCAGTGAATCTTTGATTTTGGAATTTCTGAGTATTGGTGCTGCATTTTGAATAGAGAATTGAGTTGCTAATGAGTACAACTAGGCTCTAGTCCAGATCTATCACTAGCTTTTTCGGTTCCCTTTCCTCATCTTTTGTATAAGATGCTGTTATGGAAGATTGCTCTATCTAGCTTTAAAATGCAATATTAAAACACTTCAAGTTTTTATACGATTTCTGCAAGATGAAATTCAGGAAAGTAGCCTTTATGAACCATGCAAATGGAGGGTATGAATCTGGGCAAATTCTACAACGAGTGCATTGTCTTGTCCCCAGGATGGCTTCTTGGGAGGGAAAACGGGTAATCAGAGCTACCATTCTGCAGATACTTGAAGTGACTCCTTAAGGAGAAGTTGGGAGATAGATTCTGCAGTGCTTAGAAAGGAACATTGCTTAATAATAGACAGTGGCCTTTTCTGGAACAGCAAATGATGTTAGCCCCAAGCTGCCCTCTATGTGACATAAGTAAGACAAGAGGAAATAAACTTCAGCACTCTGTATATCTGGGAGGTAAGACTCTGAAATAAGGATGGTTTTTAGTGCTCCTGTGAGAAGTGTGTGTGTGTGTGTGTGTGTGTGCGCGCGCGCGCGCGTGCACGCGTGCACGTGTTGCACACCATAGCTACTTAATCGCTTAATTTTTCAAAATAGGTGACGCATTCCATCCCATGCCTCATCTTTAGAACAATAGGAAATAGAAGTAAAAGAAGGGGCCTCCAGAGAAAGTCTCAAGATGACATCTCATCACTGGGATACAT